AGGAATTCCCATATTGAACCTCCTGTATTGATCTTCTAATTGTATTCTCTCCTGATTTCCATTTCTTTCTTTTTGCTTTCTTCTCTGAGATAGTTCCTTAACATTATCTTACAACAAAACTAAAAACTGTCCTTCAGTTCTCATATTTTTAAATTTCATGGGTTCTTTCTTGTTCTTTGATTTTCTACTTTTATAGTATTCTATTTTTATTTTAATGGTACAATCTCTCTATTTCTCTCTCTCTCTCTCTCTCTGTCTGTCTTTGGATAACACCATAGGGTTTTATTAATTTTTTTCTGCATCTTGTATTGTTTTTGTATTTACTGAATTCCTCCCCTGATTCTTTACTTTGGTCACTCTCTCTTTTTTTTAAATTTAAATTAAATTAATTAACATATAATGTATTATTTGTTTCAGGGGTACAGGTCTGTGATTCATCAGTCTTATAATAATACCCAGTGCTCATTACAATACATACACTCCAGTGTCCATCACCCAGTTACCCCATCCCCCCACTCTTGTCCCCAGTCACTCTCTTTCTTGATAGTGGTTTTCCTCAAATGTCTGGTGATCCTTAGTGGCATGTTCTATTTATAAGCAAAAAATATGGGGAAAGCTGTTAAATGGAATGTTTCACTACAGTAGGATTAGGCAGCCTATCAGTTTTGTCAACAAAGATTTCAAGATAACGGTATCTCTGGAGTGTTCAGTTTTTCCTGAGAAGGATCTCCCAGTCTTCTACCTGGGGGATATGAGCCTTGAAGGCAGTATTGTGGAGCTAGGAGCAGGAAGGCTTTCATGTAATTCCTCTATCCCATTCCAGGATGGCCCACTTGCTCATAGGCACTTTTACATAAATTTTTTTGATGCTATTATAAACTGTACTGATTTTATTTTTTTATTTTTTCAATATATATATATATATATTTTTTTTTTTGGACAGAGAGTCACAGCAAGAGAGGGAACACAAGCAGGGGGAGTGGGAGAGGGAGAAGCAGACTTCCCACGGAGCAGGGAGCCCGATGCGGGGCTCGATCCCAGGACCCTGGGACCATGACCTGAGCTGAAGGCAGATGCTTAACGACTGAGCCACCCAGGCGCCCCAAATGGTACTGATTTTAAAAACGGTTTTATTGAAATATAATTCACATACCATACAATTTACCTACTTAAGATATAATTCAATGGTTTTTAGTATATTCAATATACAAGCAACTATCACTACAGTCAATTTTAGATCACCTCCATCACCTCAAGAAGTCTGGGGGAGGGGAATACGGAAATTGTTTAACAGGCATAGAGTTTCAGTTTTGCAAGATAAAAAAATTCTAGAGATCTGTTGCAACAAGGTGCATATAGATAACACTACTGTCCTGTATACTTAAAAAATGGCTAAGTTGGTAAAAAAGAGAGAGAAACTGTATTCTTTAGTTATCTATCATCCCTATCTCCACATCCCCACCCACCCCAGTCCCAAGCAAACACTAATCTACTTTGAGTCTCTATAGATTTCTCTATCCTGAATATTTCATACAGATGGGTCATATAATATATGACCTTTGTGGCTTTTTTCACTTAATATAATGTTTTCGAGGTACATCCATATTGTAGCATATATCAGTACTTCACTTTTTCATGGCTGAATAATGTTCTGTTGTATGCATATACCACATTTGTTTATCCATTCATCCATTATTGGACATTCCACTGTTTCCACCTTTTGGCTATAATGAATAATGCTGCTATAAACATTTATGTACAAGTTTTTATATGAACATTTCTGCTGCTTTAAGCCACTTAGTTGTTCGTAATTTGTTTTGACAGCTCTAGGAAACTAATATAAGATCCTTTGTCCATTTTAAAATTGCTTTTTAAAAAAAATTTTTAAAAAATTTTTTGAGCTGAAAGAATTCCTTATGTATTTTGGATATGACTCCTTTATCAGATATATAATTTGCAAATATTTTCTCCCATTCTGTGAGTTGTCTTTTTTTTTTTTTAAGATTTTATTTATTTATTTGAGAGAGAGAGAGAGAGCATAAGCTAGGGGAGGAGCCCCAGGAGAGGGACAAGCAGACTCCCCACTGAGTGGGGAGCCCAAGGCCGGCCTCCATCCCAGGACCCCAAGATCATGACCTGAGCCAAAGTTAGATGCTTAACCGACTGAGCCACCCAGGGGCCCTTAGTTCTGTCCTCTTTAGTTACAAAGAACTATTGTATGTAGAAATAATGGAGTTTGGTGAATAGAAGGCTGGCTTTTATAGTCTGGAGAAAAGATATTAAACCCACTGCTTCTAATTCTTTGTCCAATGTTAGAACTAGACTATTCACCAGCAAAATGGAGAAAAGTCTGAAATCCCACATAACAAAGACTGAGATAATTAATAAACAGCAACTTTAGTTCATAAAAAATAATTTCTAAGCTAGCCAGCTCTCAAACCATTAAATAAAATTGTTGTGTAAGATAATGTGTAACTAATTATCAGGTAGATCATGGAAAGATTCCTGAAGAAAATATTTTGGGGTGCCTGGGTGGCTTAGTTGGTTAAGCATCTGCCTTTGGCTCAGGTCATGATCCCAGGATTGAGCCCCGCATCAAGCTCCCTGCTCAGCATGGAGTCTGCTTCTCCCTCTCCCTCTGCACCTCCCTCCACTGATGCTCTCTCTCTCTCTCTCACTTGCTCACTTTCTCTCCCTCAAATAAATAAATAAAATCTTAAAAAAATATTTTGAGACAACTGGGAGGTTGTATAAGTTGCCAAGTGAATATTATAGGTAGGTAAAACAAGTTGTGTAAGCACAAAAAGATTGAAAAGTATGAGTTGTTCAGACAATCAAATGCATAGTAAGGGTATGTAAAAAAAACCAAACCTGATGTTTCTTCTATGTTTCTCCTTCATTCTCACACTACTACCATACTCACAACACTTCTGACACCAAATGTGTGGGGTTTTTTCCCCCCCACACCAAACAATTCTGTGACACGAGCTGGGTGTCCTACAATTTAACTCAATCCTAATACTACCTGGAGATAGCATCAGATCCCACAGGTTAAGTCCCATGAGACTCAGTCCCATGAGACTGCCCCCCACTTCAGATGCCAATTGCAAGTAATACGTCCAGGTTACCCACAACTTCTGTCTGACATAGCTAAAACTGGAGGTTCCCATGACCTCCTCTCCCTTGGATTCAATTATTTGCTCACAGAAGTCTGGGAAACACTTACTTACGTTTACCAGTTTGTTAAAGGATATGATAAAGGATACAGATTAACAGCCAGATGGAGAGATACAAAGGACAAAGTCTGGGAGGGTCCCAGGTGCAGGAGCTTCTGTCCTTATGGAGTTGGGGTGCATCACCCTCCTTACTATTGGCGTTTTATGGAGGTTTCCTCACATAGGCATGATCCAGTATTAACTCCATTTCCAGTCCTTCTTCCTTCTCTGGAGAATGGGGGGTGGGGCTGAAAATTCCAAGCCTCTAATCATGGCTCGGTCTTTCTGGCGATCAGCCCCCAACTAGGAGTCTACCCAGAGCCACCTCATTAGAATAAAAAATGCTCCTAGTGCTCTTATCACTTGGGAATTTACAAGGGTTTCAGTGTCCTGTGTCAGGAACTAGGGGCAGAGACCAATATATTTATTTTTATTTCTATGAAGACAGAGGTAATAATGCTAAATGCCAACATTTTATTAAGCTATATTCTGGCTACTATTTAGTACTTTTCATGCAAGAGCCTTCATAACAACCATATGATGCAGATACTATTATTATCCCATTTTACAGATGGGGAAAATGAAAAATGGGAGTGTTAGGTTAACTAGCCTAAGATTATATAGTTAATAACTGACAGAGATGGGCTCTGAACCCAGGCAGTGTATCTGCCCCTCATGAAGTGATATTATCATAAATGGTCTTTCTATTTTGAAGGTTCTAGGACTCTTTAGGTAGAAAGTTGGAGACATCGATAGAAACATCTTCTATCTCTTCACCTTTGGCTTGGCTATCTAAAAGGAATATCTGAAATAATATAAATGGTCACAGTTTATGGAACCAGAGTGGAGGCCAGAGGATTGTTACAAACTTTTTGATCCTCCTTTGGAAGGACAGACCTGCTGATGACTGATGCCCTAAACTCATATATTTCAATCAGGGCAGAGACTGTTGGGGAGGGGATATCCTACCTTTCTATCTAAGAAGATAATTAAAGCTGTGAAAGGAGAATGAGTATTGGTGTCAATCAGTAGTTGATGCCAGTTCTTTTGGCTATTGTTTTTTATTTCCTATGAACCTCTACTGCAAATGCATATAGAAAAAAAAAAGACATTTAAAACCCCTATAATTAACTGCTGCCACTCTATCCTGTTTTATATACACTAATTCATTTTATCCTCTCAGCAACCCTATAAGATAGGTACAATTAATTATTATTCTTATTTTGCAAATGGAGACATTAAAGCACAAAGTTATAAAGTTATTATAATATCTTGCTTACAGTTTTACAGAAAATAAATGGGGGAGTTAAGTGAAGCTGAAAAGAACTACAATAAAGTTGTCAGTAAGTACTAAACGGCTGGTTAAAAATTAGTACTTTTGAGATACCACGTAGGAGAAAGAAGCCTGGATTTGGATCAGGACTTGGATTCGGGCTCCAACATTTTGTGCTGTGTAAAGATTGGGAGCTGGTCACTCTGGGCAATTTCCTCGCATACCTCCTAAGGGTTTTGCCAAGACCTAGTGAAGTGATTATTGTAAAGCGCACTGTAATCTCTAAAATGTTACACAAATGGGAGAAACATCTACTGGCACCGATTTTGAAAATCTGGGATCTGGACAGTCAATCCCGAAAGGTAAATCCTCTTGACTCTCCTCCCGGAAGCCGGCGCAGGGCAGTCTGGGACTTGTAGTCTTGTACTGGCTCTGGCTTGACTTTCTCCCTTAGTTGGGGAGGCTGGTGTAAGCCCCGGAAGTACTCGCTACCTGAGAGGCGTGCTGGTTAGGAAGTGGGGTCAGAGGGCGCGGGGGCAGAAGGCGTTTCTGCCGCTGGCCTAGTCGCTATGTAGTGGAGGGGCTGGCGTCCTCCTGCATGTTCTGGAAGGTTCTTGTGCTCAACTAGGGCAGTAGCCGCAGGACTTTTAGTCGCCGGCTTCGGGTCCCTGCCGGCTGAGCGGAGTCGCCGCCATGTTTGGCTGCTTGGTGGCAGGGAGGCTGGTGAGGATGGGGCCGGGTGGTATCAGGAAGGGGGCAGGACACCCGAGGGCGAGGCCTCGGGAAGGGGAGGGTGCTCGGGTGCAGGAGATGTGGGGAACACCCCCCCAAGTGTACTTTCCAGCTAAATGTGAGGGTGGAGATTGGGTGCTGGGGTGTTCGTTCTCTGCCCTCGGCTCTTTTCAGTCATTTGAATAGTAGCCACGTTAGCTACTATTTATCGAGTGTGCATTATTTGTGTGCCTGGCAGTGCACGCCTTTTGTCTATTTCAGATAATTTTCAGCCTTCTAGGTAGCTTTTATTTAGCACCTCAAATTTAACCCTCCTAACTCGTGAGGTGGTTATTTTAATTTTTATTTTGTAGTTGATGAACTTAAGCTCAGTCGTCAGTTTAAATACTTGCCTGAGCTCATACAGTAACTTAGAGGTAAACCTGGCATTTGAATCGAGTCTGTAACACACTATTTCCGAAAGGTTAAGGTGCTGGGGCAGTGTGTACCTTTGGGGTCCTTTTGGAAGGACCCCGGTAAAAAATATGCTTAAAGTAATTGGAAGTTGGCTGATAGAAACGCCTAAACTTAAGTGTGAGTCATGGCCGAGATACCCCAGAAGGGTATGAGCTGCGAAAATCTTTATTGGTCAAAAGAGATAATAACCTGCCTTGCCAGATACTAGAGTTAAATGAGATCAGCACCTGGAATTGTTCAGGAATAATTTAGAGGATGAATCTTGCTTGCCTCTTTAGAAACCACCCAGAAGTCCTTTTTAGACTTAACTCCTTTCACCCAGAGTTCTTTTTCTTTTATCTACTTGCTTTGTTAAATTTTGCAGCCCATTTGTTGAATTAAATTGTTAATCAGCTTTTGGTAATGTATTCTGTACACAGTTGTAAGAAACCACAAAGACTGGGAGGCCACTTTGGTGATGGTGGTAATTGGTAATATTGGTGAGATAACTTTGAATTGCCCCTGCTGTTCGCAGGGAAAATGAAAGGACCAGCCTGGGCTAAAGTGTGGGACTTGGATGAGTGAGTGTCATTAATGAATGACATTTAAAATGTGTGTGTGTTTTATTTTATTTTTAGTTATTTATTTTTAAGTAATCTCTATGCCCAACGTGGGGATCGAACTTACCACCCTGAGATCAAGAGTCATACTTTACGACTGGGCCAGCCAGGTGCCCCTGTGTGTTTTTTAAAGAAAAGGCCACATGGATTCCATGTATCTCATGTTGTCAACTAGCATGGAAATTTAATTATAACAATACCTGTGTCTACTTACCTAACATCTAACCTCTGTGATAGATATCTAGTAGAGTTTCTTAAAGATAAGACTTTTAGGAGGTGTCTGACTCTGTTAACCAGAGAACATGTTCATCAAAATGAAGGGCAAGTAGACCTGGAGACATCCAAAACTTCATTATTCTCTAACTAGAAAAGTCCACTTACCAAAGTTATGAACTCAGTTTCATTCCTTGAAGGTTTTTTCTTAAAGAGTTATCTTTTTCCCTAAGGTTAAGGATTAGTGTGTCATAATACAGATTTATAAGATGTCTGGTGCTTGGTAGAGTTGATGTTTAACATATTTATTTTGCCTTATGGTTGTTTCATGGCTTGTGAATACCATCATTTTAATATGTTTTTTAAGATTATGTGCATGCCCAAAACTGGTGAAATTGAATTTAATACTAATACAGGCAGTTTGGTTTTATATTTATGTTTTTCTTTTGTTTTATTCTCTTTAAACTGGACAGTTTTTAATGAGGTTGGAAAACTTCAGAAGAGAGAATTAGAACTTGATTTTAAGAACATTCATTCTTGGTCTCTTGGGAATAAATTTAGGACAATTCATATACATAGCTATGAATTTTTTAAGTTTCTTTGTAGTAGTAGCTAGGATATTATAAAAGAAAAAAGTAAGCATTTTAGTAACAACAGCAACTATTAGCAAAGGAAAAGAAGTTGCATTCTAGGTAATAAGATTTGACCATTTAAAGTCTTAAAATACTGGTAGTAATTCAGATTTGGTGTTTTGGTGAATAGAGGGGCAATAGCAATTAAAAAGAAAACCAAAAAACTGTGCATCATGTAAACTCTTGACAGCCTTTTGACCTGAGTGCCCTCAGAATTAATACTTCTTTTTGCTAATGGATGTGATATAGCAATTATCATTAATTTTCTGAAAGTGGATAAAAGGAATTTTCTCTTTGGAAGTCGATTTCTCAAACTTCAAAATAAGATAAGATCTCATTCTAGAAACTGACATTCAATTCTAGAACAGAAAATTAGATTATGAAATGAGTCAAGAGGAGACTTTTACAGGTTCCCACTTTGCACATTCAAGGTAGGATTTTTGCTTTTTATATACAGTTGATTCTCGTTATTCACAGTAGTTCGGATCTATGAAGTCAGTGTGAACACTCAATTCCTCAGTTGGTAAATACTGAATCATTGCCCTTAGGGGAAATACAGAGTTAGGTTTTTTCAAGCCTCTGATGACAGTTTTTATCAGCCTATCATTACATAACTGTGTTGTCTGTATGTTTCTGTTTAAAGACTCTTATTTAATTATGTGTTGTTGATTCATAAACATTGAACTTAACAGCCAATAACACCGTAACTCATTTCTGAATGAAACTTATATTTTCTCAGTAAGGCACATAACAACCGTTTCAGACTTAGGAATATGATCCAGCATTTCAGCTTGGCCATTTTAAACATCAGAATCACCAACAAAAAGCACAAAATACAAACAAACACGGCAGTGAATTGACTGGAAAAAACACATTTATGTACAGCATGACAGCTGAAAGAAAGAAGGCATAGCTAACTTTTCTCCACCTCAGCTGGGAACCTGTGCATTAGGCAACTCAAAATTTTTGCTGCTCTGCGCATGAACATGTCCATGAATGACCACCAGAGTGCAATGAATATTGATTTTGTGCTTACAAATAAATTTTAGTGACTAAGCAAATTAATAAATATGGAATCTGCAAACAATGAAGATTAATTCTTTCTGGACTGCTTACCCATTTTAATTTCCTCTACTTTGCATACTGAGGATAAGGCTTTGGTGGTGTGGTATTTTGCACAACCTTTCATTTTTTTTAACATTCTGAAGCTGTAGTGATTTACTTATATAAGTAAATTCCTTTCAGGGCACTTCTGAAATAATTTAGTTCTATTTTTTTAAAGGTTGCATTCATTAAATGATCATTTTAAGGCTGAATATATATATATTTGGATTTTCTTTTTAAATTTAACACTGCTATATTTGGAAATTCCATATAGACTATCAGATTAACCCAAGGTTATACTGGGTATAATGAGTATAATTGACTATACTTGATAACAGCTTACAGGAATACGTAAGGGTTATAGAAGCTCATCAAACTATTGAACTAAGTCGAGTTTCTTATTTTCTAGGTCCAAACAGCTGCACAGCAAGTGGCAGAGGATAAATTTGTTTTTGACTTGCCTGATTATGAAAGTATCAACCATGTTGTGGTTTTTATGCTGGGAACAATCCCATTTCCTGAGGGAATGGGAGGATCTGTCTACTTTTCCTATCCTGACTCAAATGGAATGCCTGTATGGCAACTCCTAGGATTTGTCACAAATGGGAAACCAAGTGCCATCTTCAAAATTTCAGGTCTTAAATCTGGTAAGAAATAATATTAAAATGATTACATAATTAAGCTGTTTTCTTAATAGCATGACATAGGATATGGCTCTTTTTTTTTTTTTTTAACTTTCCATTATGTTTTGCTGGTTTCTAAAGTGATATATTATTAAAAAAATTCAGATGATAAACTGATACATTTGAAAAGTAATAAGCGAAAGATCTCCTCAGCTTCTCACATTTCCACCTTCTGTCCCTGGAAAGAGCCATTTACTTTTGTGTACAGGTTTTGTATACTTTTATAAAGGGATTTTATTGGGTGTTCTAACAAATAGTGACAAGGAATCTTCTCAGAATTTGTAATATGCACTTCTGTGTATTAAATAAACAGATAAAGCAAGTAGATTTGTATAGGAATTAAAATGAGAGTCCTTTTTTTTTTAAATGAAGGTTTTTGAACTCTCAGATTTGATTACCCCTCCAGTGTTTTTGAACTCTTAGATTTGATTATCCCTCCAATGTTTTTTTCTTAGTTGTATTGACAGTGCAGGCATCAGACCTTACAGGGGCATAATCATTGCATTGATGGTTTCAAGTATTTTGTGGAGAAATGTGAGAACAAAACCAGGTGCCGTTTACTCCCATTGAATCTCTGGTTTCCTTGAAAATCTACATGAAAACACATAATAATGTATCTACTATGAGGATTTAAAAATAATGATTAAGTTCTTACTTAACTGGAGATAACTCATATTCTTATAAAGGATGATAGTTTGTAGACCACTGATTTGAAGGGTGAAATGTAATCGTGGATGTTTGTACAAGATGCTGAGAGAGAATAGAAAGGGGAGCAACTAACTCTCAAGTGGGTTGAGAAGGTTTCCTGAAGGAGGTGATATTGGACCTCTTGGGGAGTAGTTAATTAGGCCTGTGAGAGGCCTGTTGGGCATTCTTTTCTGGGTGGAGGTAGTATGTGTACAATGAAGAAATTTTGAAAGCATGGTGTGCATAGGATGGTACAAGGGTAGGTTAGGCAGGCATGGATCAGGAAAAGCTTTATGTGCCATACTGACTCATTTGAATTTAAGTCAGCAATTTTTAATGTACTTATCTAAGTGATCTCACAGACCTCTTGGTGGTATTATAAAAAATAAGTGTAACATAATGTAAATACTCAAAAGTTTGCATGTACTTTAAAGCCCGTCCGTGTATCCCTCCCCATAAAGAACTGCTCTTATAGGTGTAGAAGAGCCAGTAAACAATTTTGGGTAGGGGAGGTGATATGAACAAGCTTTGTTTTTAGCCTGAGGGCTGTGTGAAGAATGAACTGGAGCAGTTCTGGCTGGATGATGGACTGTTAGGCGCAGTTAATAAATGGAATTCTAGAAGAAGAAACGGGAGAGAATTTAAAGCTAAATTCTGTTTAGAATTGATGAGAAATACTAATCTCTAGATTTAAGAAGCAGGACAAATCCCTGTGGTCCTTATCAACTGGGGTTCCATGAGATAAATTATCCCAATCCCTAAGACAGTGACTCTTTTTTTTTTCAAGATTTAATTTATTTATTTGAGAGAGAGAAAGTGAGCAAGAGAGAGTGAGCACAAGCTGGGGGAGAGTCGGGGAGAGGGAGAAGACTCCCCACTGAGCAGGGAGCCTGATATGGGGCTCCTAGGACTACGGGATCGTGACTTGAGCTGGATCATGACCTGAGCCGAGGGCAGACACTCAACCAGCTGAGCCACCCAGGTGCCCCAAGACAGTGAATTTTTTTTTTTTTTTTAAAGATTTTATTTATTTATCAGAGAGCACAAGCAGGGAGAGTGGCAGGCAGAGGGGGAAACAAGCTCCCTGCTGAGCAGGGAGCCCGATGCGGGACTTGATCCCAGGACCCTGGATTCATGACCTGTGCCGAAAGCAGACGCTTAACCATCTGAGCCACCCAGGCGCCCCCCAAGACAGTGATTCTTAAACCATGGGTAGAGTCCAGTTCCCCAGGTGTTTTGCATGCTCAAGTTTGAGAACCACTACCCTAGGTCATCCACTAAATGTAGTGAATTAATGTCTCATACCTTTAGCATGGAGTTAGTTTTGAATAATCTTTGGGAGAATTAAGAAAATAGTCATTCTCAAATCACTTTTTTATGTGACCGTGCCTAAAAATAAATAATCTATAAGTAGAAGGAATATAAATGGACAGTTCCGTACATTCTAGTTAAATTTCTGGGCATTTAATGTAAAGAGAAAGTAGTAAAGGAACCAGAGAGAAAGACAAGTCAGTTATAACTGGATGGCAGTTAGTTTAGCATACTTACTATCATGAGGATGAATAGAGGCCAAAACCAATAGATTAATATCTTCAAAGTGCCAAGGAAAAATAAAATAACTCTCAAAACTGTTATTCTAAAGTGATGGAGAAATAAATATATTTTGCAGATGGAGATGGAAAGTTTACTACTACTCATAGACCATTACTAAAAGAACTACTGAAGGTAGCTGTACTTTATAAGAGGAAATTGAACCCAGGTTGTAGAAGAGCACGCAAGATGCAAAGTTAAAGAATTGGTAAACATGGGACACCTGGATGGCTCAGTTGATTAAGCATCTTCCTTCAGCTCAGGTCATGATCCCAGGGTTCTAGGAGTGAGCCCCGCATCGGGCTCCCTGCTCCCCGGGGAGCCTGCTTTTCCCTCTCCCCCTTCTTGTGCTGTCTCTTGTCAAGTCAATCAATCAATCAATCAATCTTAAAAAAAAGAAAAGAATTGGTAAACATGTAGCCTAATCTGGCAACCTGATTGTATAAAACAATACAATAAATAACTTAAATGCACAAGAATTAAAGATTGTCCTAGAAAGTAATGCATAAGACAGGAGGGGTACTGATTAAAGCTTTCTGAGGTCTTATTCTTTAGAAAGAGAATAATAATACTAATTCTACTTTCAGGTAATCTTGTTAAAAGTTTAAGGAAAAGTTAAAGAAAGGAAAAGTAAAGTCATAGTATATAGGCATAGTATATTAAAAATAAAATAAGATGGTGAAAATAATTTCAACTCTATCAGTTATCAGGAGAAATGTAAACAGAGTACACTTGCCAGAGAAAACATGGAGACTCCAGGATAGGATTTCTTTTAAAGAGAGCAAATAAATAATTACATTGCTGCTAATGATTAATGGGTCTAAAACATTTTAACACAAGCAACCAAAACAAAACTGTCATACTTACTGGCTTGGGAGATAACAGGATCACGAAGGTGGTTTTCCCAGGGTGAGGCTTATCCATTGTACTCTGGATGTTCTGACCCCTGCGATTTCCCCAAATGTGGGAAACTCGACTGCATAATTTGTGGTAGGGGGGGACTGCATTTGTGCTTTCCCCTACAAAAAAAAAAAAATAGCTGTCATAGGTATATTAATTTTATGAAAATTTAGACTAAGACAAAAACATTATTAGGGATTAAGAAATTCATTCAGTAGGAATGAAATAATCCATTAGGAAAACTAAAATATTTCTAGGAAAAGATAAGTCATGAATTTGTGTGTATGTATAACTTCAATATATATTTTAAAAATTGACATTTAGAATGATAAATGCTGTTAATATTTTAGTTACCTCTTGATAATATACTAAGTAAATATTAGTAAAATGGAAGATTCGAATAAAAGAGTTAACAAGTTTGAGCCAATGGACAGTTATAGAACCCTGCACCTAATTGTTAGATCATATACATTTTTAAAATTATTTTTTAAGATTTTTGTTTGTTTGACAGCGCACACACAAGCAGGGGAAGCAGCAGGCAGAGGGAGAGGGAGAAGCAGGCTCCCCTGCTGAGCAGGGAACCCAGCACGGGACCCAATCCAGGACCCTGGGATCATGACCTGAGCTGAAGGTAGACGCTCAACCAACGGAGCCATCCAGGCGCCCTAGATCATATACATTTTTAAGTACATAGAACATTTATGAAATTTGACCACGTACCAAGTCATGAAGCAAGTTGCAGTAAATGGCAGATAATCAGTATGCAGCCTACAGTGCTATGTAATTACACGTCAAAAGATAAAACACTGTTATGTGTAGGAATCCTCCCTTCAACATGTAGCTGTCAGGCCCAGAGGGTTTTACAAAATTCAACTAAACCTTTATGAAACAGACTGTTCATATCTTATATAAACTTTTAGAGAATAAAAGAAGATCGTTACCCAGTTTATATTTCTAACCAAAAAGGACAAGGACAACATAAGAAATGTGACCTATTTATTTAGGATTTTTATATCAATGTGCATAAAATAGTTACAAAGTAAATTCAACAAGGTATCTTATTTTTTATTACTTTTCATTATACATAAAGTCCAAGTATACACCCAAAACGACCAACTCATGGATAATGTTATTTTTTAAGATTTTATTTATTCATTTTTAAAGATTTTATTTATTTGAGAGTGAGAGAGAAAGAGCAGAGGGTGGGGGTAAGGGCAGAGGGAGTGGGAGAAGGAGGGAGCCTGATGCGGGGCTCCATCCCAGGACCTTGAGATTATGACCTGAGCTGAAGGCAGAGGCTTAACTGACTGAGCCACCCAGGCACCTCTATTTATTTATTTTAGAGAGAGCGAGCGTACGCACAAGTGGGGGAAGGGGCAGAGGGAGAGAGAGAATCCCAAGGAGACTTTGAGCTATTGTGGAGCCCAAGGCAGGGCTCGCGACCCTGAGATCATGACCTGAGCTGAAATCAAGAGTCAGGTGCTTAACCGACTGAGCCACCCAGGCGCCCCAGT